CCACCACAAGGGGAACAATATTTCCCTAGATAAGGTTTCAGATTCCACAGCGCAGTGAATCTCCAAGATACAATCTACCACAATGAGCTTTCCCATGGCCTTGATGAAGGACTGCCACAGTTATGTTACGTAATTAGGCAATTAATACACTCCTGTTGTCTAGTTCCGTATCTGTGACACCAGCTTTCAACCAAAATGGCAAACCTTAAAACACTTCAGGAGCCAAGAGAACACACAATCTTCTATGAAGGAAGTTGCAAAGACTTTTGTAAAAATGTGTGACGATGGGAGATGGCTCAGCAGGTACAGGTGATGGCTGCCAAGCCTGACAACCTGAGTTTGATCCCTGGGTCCCACATAGTGGAAGGAGATAACTGACTCCCCAAGTTGTGTGTCCTCTGACCTCCACACGTGCTGTGGCATATGTGTCCCTCCACACACAGACACAGGACACACACACACACACACACACACACACACACTAAATCAATCAATCAATCAATCAATCAATCAATCAATCAATGTAATTTAAAATAATGTTTGAAGTTGGTCCCACCTGGTGGTTCACATCTATAATTCTAGTACCACAGCAGAAGGATCATTGTGAGTTTGAGTCCAGCCTCAGCTACATAGCTCAGGCTATCTTAAAAGAAAACAAAACATAAAGTTAGAAGCAATGTTGTACCCCACTCAAAATTCTTTTGTATGGGAAAATAGTTACTTTTCATAAGAAATTAATTTTAGCCATGTTAGCAAATATCAGGTTTGTTACTATTATTTTAAAATAAATTAGTGATGATTCAGACATTTTTCCAGTGTTAACCTCCTGAATGATAAACGGCAATATCAAACTATAGAAGCAAAGCTCTTTGGAACTTTCAGTTTTGTTAAGAGTGTCAAGTTGTCCTCAGACCCCAAAGTTTGAGAAATGTAATCTTAGGACAATAAACAGGTTGGAGATATGGCCCAGAGGTTAAAGAGCACTTGCTGTTCTTGCAGCGGACCTGAGTTCAGTTCCCAGCACCCACATCCGGTGGCTCACAACCACTTCTAATTCTAGTTCCAGGGGTCTGATGCTTCCTTCGCCTCACAGGCAAACACACTCACATGGCATACAAACACATAGACACACACAGACATACACATAAATAAAACTAAATGTAATAAATAATAAATAAAATAAACAAGGGGCCGGAGGTATGGCTCAGCTGGTGGACTGCTTGCGTGGCACACACCAAGCCCTGGGTTTGGTCACCAGTACTACACAAACTGGTGTGGGTGTAGCCGCACATACCTGTGATCCCAGCAGTTGTGAGGTGGAGGATCAAGAGTTCAAGGCCAGCCTCCACTTCACAAGCCATTAGGCCAGCCTGGAATACAAGAGACCCGTCTCAAAACAACAGGGCCAGTCAGAGAGCTCAGAGTTTAGTCCTCCTTCACACATTGTAGAGGGAGAGAACTGACTCCCATTAGTTGTCCTCTGACTCCAACATCAACACCCTAGGACACATGCCTACAGCAAATTAAAAATGTAATAAAACAATAACAAAAAGCCCCAGACTTTTAAAACCAGATTTTTGTCATGTTATAATGGCTAAAAGAGAGAAAAGAAAGAAATGAAAATTACTCCAATGTCCAATAAATGACTGAATAAATAATGGCATCTCCATTTAGTGGAACATTATGCAGTCATTAAAAATTATGTCCTCCAAGCATATTTATTGTTGTGGGAAAATGCTCGGCATGTTCAACACGCTGTTAAGAGATTTAAAAAAAAATGAAAGAAGGCAATTTTCATGACTGCCACATCTGAGATGCCTCGATTCACAGGGAAATCAGGAAATGGAATCCTGGGAAACCGACAGACACCAGATGGTCCTTCAGGCTTCCAGGGAGCAGGGTGGGGGTCATGGGAAGGGTGCCGAGGGCTGAGTCTATACACCCGGCAATACAGTGCTTCTGGCTTATCCAGTTTCTACCTCTAAATTTACAAGGTGAGCAAACCCCCGAGGCTGACATTGCCATGAGCACCCCAGGGCAGCAGAGACACCTTCTAGCTCCATGTCCCTCACGCTCAGTTCACTTCCCTGCAGCGATGTCAGCAAACTTCAGGTCTGGTCTAAACCTCAGGGTAGGGAGAGGGGAAGTCCGCCAGGGCCAAAGTCCATGGGGCGCTGCCTTTCCTGGTAACAAGTGTCACCGCCATCTGCTGCCACACAGCTAGCTAGGTGTCCTCATTACCGAGCATAAATTCCTCTGTGTGCCTGGCCTCCACCTGCCACATCTGTCTGCAATTTGTGTGCTGTTTGCAGTGGCTGGCGAAAAGGTGAGTTCTTCATGACACTGTGCGATTCTGGGTGGGATGCTCGGGGTGGCTGGAGGTGGTCAGACACTTTCTTTTCAGGGACACTGTTGCCTTGAGTATGCATGGGCTCAGGGGGTACCTCTGGCCTAAGAGCCTGGCAGGTGGCAGATCCAAGGAGATCCGAGGAGATGGGCCCTGCCCCTGCCATTCAACAGTCACTAGGAATCTGCACAGATCACAGCAGGCAGTGAACCAAGCTATATATTGTATGTCATTGAGCCTCACGGCCTGCAAGCCAGTCCCGAAGATAAGAGACATGTGTGGTTCCTACCCCTGACAGAGGAGCTGTGGTTCAGATAGGTAGGGAAATTTACCTATGGTCCCAATTAATTAATAAAGGGTAGAGCCTGGTATGGTGGCTCATACCTGTACACTCAGCTCTTGACAAGCTGGGGCTGACCCCTCCACACATGCTCCTGGCCCAGAAGTCTCCTCCTTCCAGGTCTAGAAGTGGGACTAGAGCTGAGAATTCTGTCCCTGACCAAGGCCAGAGAAGGTAGGCTTGTAGGTCCCAGGAATAGACCTGGGGAAGGTGGTGGAGACAGCATCGGGTGGTTTCCTGTGCCAGCCCTGAATCTGCATGGGCACATCAGGCTCAGAGAGACCAAGGATCTTGGCTTGCACAGCCTGGGCTCAGCAGTACCTCTCCTGGGAGACTCCAGCCTGTGAGGCTCTACAGTGAGGAGCAGAGGGGTGTTACAAGGACCTTGAGTCAAGACTGAAAGACAGCAGCCCAGGTAGGAGTGGACAGCCAGATGGCTGCACAAAGAAAAAGCAGATGGGGCTGGAGAGACGACGGCTCAGTGATTAGCGGCACTGGCTGTTCTTCCAGAGCACCCGGGTTCAGTTCCCAGCACCCACATGGTGGTTAACAGTACTTAACTCCAGTTCCAGAAGATCTGATGCCCTCTTCTGGCCTCTGCAGGCATTGTACACACAGGTGCACTTAACATACATGCAGGCAAAACGCTTGTATACATAAAAATAAGTAAATAATTTTAAAAAAAGAAAAGAAGAAGCAGGTGTACTTGGCAAAGGCACTTTCTGAGCATGCAACCACCACGTGCTGGCTGGGCCACAATGCCCACCACTGCCAATTCCCACTGTCACAGTGACCCCAATGGAAACACGATGCCCACTATTAATGTCTCTCACCTGCCTTGAGAGCCACACACTGCTGAGAACCCTGGAGAGCACTGAGTCCCCCCAGGTGCAGCTCTTCTGGGCAGTGGCTCCACACAGTCCCTGGGGGACACCTGTGGAGTGCTGCATGGGTACTAGCTCAGCCACCTGTGCACACCACACCTGGTGTCAGCGACAGCTGCTGTGACTGAATTGGCTCACCAGCCAGAAAAATCCACTTCCCTTCATGCTGTGAGAGCTGTACCTGGGACATGGCCAGACAGCAAGAAAATACATATTCAATGCCACCTCCTCACCTATAGCCAAGTATGACCAGGCTCCTGCCAAGGACAGCCTCTGGCCCTTCCATGGTGTCTTAAGGATAAGCTCTGCCTGAGATGCTCGCAGGGGGCTGGTCAAAGGGGAAACATTCTTGAAAATTTGTTCTGGCATCTCCTGGTGACCTCACTAGTGAACCTGTTCTGGTTTCAGATACGTTTTTCTGTCTGGCAGGCATGATCCACCTGCTCATGGCCCACATGCAGCCCAGGACAGCAAAATCATAAACTTAAACACATTAATTTTTTTCCAGTTCTTGACTGCGGAGTTCCTGAGTGGGAACTTTGTGGGTGGCATCTGTCACTATGTCAAAAAGTGGGACGTGCTTTGAAAGCATCAAGAGCACACATACCCCAAATGCCGTCTTCCCTTCAGACACTCTGGGACCAACTTCTCAAATCACTGTGCCAGTTGCCAGCTTAGACAGGCTTCTTATCTTTCTCAAAGAACTTTATGGAGCCTTCCTTGAAGCCCAGAGCACTAGCAGGGGCCTTTAAGAGAAAGGGAGCTGAGAGCTGATTTAGGGAAACTGGGCTGAACTCGTGACCCCCTGGTCTCCTTTGTGAAAGCCATTTTTGGCCATCTGAAGGCCAGGGGATGGTCTGTGGTCCATCTTGGCAAGAGACCTCCCACACACCTGTTTGGGGTCATCATCCCATTTCTCCCCAGGGGCCAGGGCTATGTGCTGCACTTACACAAGGAAGTAGTACTGGTCTGAACATCCTTCCTGGGGAAGCCCACCCCGGGGGACAGGAGTAAGTGTGCAGGGCACAGGCATTTCTCCAGCAGAGTCAGTAGAGTACATGCCCCGTCCTGAGCATGGAAGGACCCTCCCCCCCAACCACAGGCCCCTGATCGGTCAGGCTCCTGGTCCATCAAAGATGCCCACCCACTGGCTCATGAGGCCCATTCCTCCCTGAGGATTGATAGGCACAGATGCAAATGTGATAATGAAATCCATTATTCTATATACTGTATGATAATAAAGAGCTTTAAAAAAATGAACATTTGCCTTTCATATACATCACTCATGCTTAGCCTGGATGCACTGTGCGTGGTGGTCACCTGAGGAGGTATGCGATCACACCCAAACCCACCCTGAGAAAAGAGAATTCCACCCTGGGAAAAGCTGAGTGGGCCTAGGCGAGAATCTCTGGCCTGTCCCGTCACTCACCCTGCAAGGCCTCTTTGGCTCTGGCCAGTTCCTGCTCCTTCTGCACCAGCTGCACCCGGAGTTCGGTGGCCGAGAGGATCTCAGAGCACTTGCCACCCTGCGACTCCTCAAGGTCCTTGGCCAGCATCTCCTTCATCTGCCGGAGAAGGTGGACTTCTTCCTGCAGCCGGGCCACCTCTTCCCGCAGGAGCACTAGGGGACAAAAGCAGATGGTCAGAGGTGGGGAGGCTGTAAGGGGCTCCGCTGACTCCTGTCGTCTGTTCCCCAAATTGGCCCTGGCCCCACCCAGACCCTGAGCATCCAGTGCTGCTGGGACTGTCCAGTGGCTACTGTCTTAGGAGTCAGTGTTCTGACCACAAGTCACTCCAGGCTAAGGGAAGCTTTGTATACAATCATTCACTGACTCCCCACAACCCAAGCTAGGTCCTGCCCTGATCCCTATTTCAACACCAGGCTGCTGAGCCTCAGAGAGGTTAAGGGACTCTGAGAAGCCAGGCTTGGGGGTCACAGGTGTGACCATGGTGACTGAGTCAGAGCATGAAGACAGTGTCTCACTATGGAATCAGTGTTGGAGGGTACACTTACATCCTGTAGAGCATACCCCATAGAGGGTTCTGTACCCTGCGTGGAACACAGTGTGAACACCTACCCTCTGAAGGAGAATTGGGGCACCATGGACAGAGGACTTGGCAGCACCTACATCCAGCCCCTGTGTATGAGTTTTGAGGGACCCTGATGTCCCCTCCCGACCTCGGAAGGTACCGAGGTAGTCCACTGCCCTTGAGGAAGAGGAGGGTCCACAAGAGTGTCATTCACCTCTGTAATTCTACAGGCCCCAGTGAGCGCGGAGTAGCAATAAACCCAAACCTTCTCAGGTACTGGGGATGGCACTGCAACCTCACAGAGGAGTGGCGTGCAGGGGGCAAGTTGTGTGGGCTTCTGTGACAACCACTCTTAAGAGGTCACATCAAGAATGAACAGTCTCGGGGCTGGAGAGATGGCACAGCAGTTAAGAGCACTGGTTGCTCTTGCAGAGGACCCGGGTTCAGTTCCCAGCACCCATGTGACAGCTTATAATCATCCATAACTCCAGTTCCAGGAGGGATCCAACACCCTCTTCTAGCCTCCTTGGGGATTGTATGCATGTGGTACATTTACACACATGCAGGCCAACAACTCACACACATAAAATAAAGATAAATGTAAAAAAAAAAAAAAAAAAGAACAGTCACCAAGTATGGCACACTCCTGTAATCCCAACACTTATAAGGCTGAGATAAGAGGTTATTGCAAGTTCAAGGCCAGTCTGGGCTATATAATAAGGCTCTATCTTAACCTTCCCTATCCCCTCAAAAAGAGTGTGTCTCCTCTCCTGGGTGATAGGGGGAAAAAAGCCAGGTTAAAAGACTCAGTTATCAGGAAGTAGCAGCCCTGGGGCTGGCCTTCGCAGAAGTTCAGGTCCTCCCTGTCCTCCACCCTCTAGCCACACCCCTTTACTGGAACATGCTAAGCTCTTCCCTACATCCCAGGAGTCCTTTTCCAGCTCTTCCTAGGCCATCTCCTTTGTGTAACACATGTCTGTGCCCCACCAGGATTCCTCAGACAGGCTGTCCGCCAAAGACCCTCAACTCCAGGAGGCACCTGCCTGCTCTTTCCTACATGGGTGGACTCAAGTACAGGCTGAGTAGGGACCATCCTGCAGAGTAGGTCCAAGCCAAGTAGCACAGGCTATCCAGGGAGAGAGCGGAAGACCCTGCCTGAGGAAGCCTCAGGGTCCATGCGCATACACTCAACAAACCACACAAGGAGGTGTTGCATCAGCAAAGCAAAGGTGGGAGGCCAGAAAGCCAGACCAGGAGCCACTGGAACATTTGTAGGGAATAAAGGGCAGGAGAAAGGTGGGAGAAGACAGATTATAAAAAGGCTTAACCCCAGCCACCATGTCCCCTGCTCTGGCTTGCCATGTCTAGTGTACCTGAGACTATGGAATTTTTTCCCCTTTAACTAACACTTTCCATTTGCCCATCCTGACAGGGTCCCTTGGCCCACTCAACTGTCAGCAAGAGGATCAAGTGTGAGTGACTGGGAACACACGTCCACTTATATTACACTGCCATATAGCTGCTTTGGATTTTGTTTGCTTGATTTGGTTTGTAAAGGAGAATGGTTTCTAGACTGAAGAATAGTTTCTGGCCATCCTGAGAAACCCACAAAGGTTCTATTTGTCTACAAAGGCAGTGCTGGCTCCCAAGCTTCAAATCTAAGCCCAATCAGTCCCTTATCACAGCTTTGTGTCCCTTCTTGAGGTCTCAATGGTCATGTGCTGCACAGACACCATCCAGTCAGGGGTGCCAGACAGAGAAAAAACAAAGTAAAGTAAAGTAAAAACAAAAACCTCAGTCACACCGGGGACTCGACTTTCACAGAAACAACAGGTGGTTTTCAGTGAAAATATATCCCCTGGCTCCCAAGCTTCAAATCTAAGCCCAATCAGTCCCTTGTCACAAGCTTTGTGTCCCTTCTTGAGGTCTCAATGGTCATGTGCTGCACAGTCACCATCCAGTCAGGGGCGCCAGACAGAGAAAAAACAAAGTAAAGTAAAAACAAAAACCTCAGTCACACTGGGGACTCGACTTTCACAGAAACAACAGGTGGTTTTCAGTGAAAATATATCCCAGTTTGTGGGGTACACTTGTGCTGAGCATGCAGTTGTGTTATCCTAGGTTTGACTAGGTGTTTTGTGTGTTTCTTACCAGTGCAATTCTCCCCTCCCATGGGCACAGGAAACAGGGGGACCCCACGAGTTGGCTTTGCTAGAACACCCGAGAGAGCAGGTGAAGGTGGGGAACAACGACTACACCTGCCTTTGGCCAAAAGCAGCGGTAGGAAGGGCTGGTCTCTCAGTCTCCTAACAGGCAGCTGGTGCGCCCTGCACGGGGTGTACCCAACTCCCAGTTTTGTGCGTTTCTTACCAGTGCAATTCTTCCCTCCCATGGGCACAGGAAACAGGGGGACCCCACGAGTTGGCTTTGCAGGTGGGGAACAACGGCTATACCTGCCTTTGGCCAAAAGCAGAGGTAGGAAGGGCTGGCCTCTCACGGTCTCCTAACAGGCAGCTGGTGCGCCCTGCACGGGGTGTACCCAACTCCCAGCCCAGCCGGGTTCTGAAGTAGCTAATGGGAGCCAGGGGTAGGGGGACCCTAGGGGGAGGCTCCTCCAAACTTACTAAGCACTCACACCAGCTGGGCGGGCAAGGTGGAGCTTACAGACCCTGCCTGGACCTTCCCGAACGGAACCAACTTGGGACACAGCCTTCAGACTGGACCCCTGACTGCAGTCCCGGGATCATCAGGAGGGAGGGTGCAGGTGTCCATAAACCTCAGCACTCTTACCTGGGGCTGATGGGGGCAAACGAGACTTATGGTGGGGTTGGGGATGTGGCTCAGTGGCAGAGTGGGGGCCTAGCATTTACAAGGCCCTGGGTTCCATTCCTAGCACCAGCCAAAAACCACTTAAATGTGCCTGGTACACTGGGCACAGTATGTGAATGCCACCAACAGCCACAGCTCAGTTTGCCTTCTGCACTGAGGGGAGGGAACTTATGCTTCAGAAAACAAAGGCTTGGCTTTCCACCTCAGAGAGTGTACAACTTTGCTGTGTGTCCTTAGAGAAGACACTATCCATCTCTGGGCCTTCATGGAAGAGGGACCCACTCTGGAAATCCAGATGAATGCTACTGATGTGCGGGAACAGGCACTCTAGATTCGGCACTGCCCAGCTTAGCACAGCTGCCACCAAGAACAGGCGGCTTGCTGGGTTCAAATTAATTAAAATGAGGGCTAGAGAGATGGCTCAGCAGTTAAGAGCACTGGGTGCTCTTGCAGAGGACCTGGGTTCAGTTCCAAGCACCCACATGGCAGCTAAAAACCATCCATAACTCTAGTTCCAAGAGATCCCATGCCCTCTTCTGGCCTCTGTGGACACTGCACAGTACAGGTGCAGTTACATACATGCAGGCAAAATACTCATACACGTAAAATAAAAATAACAAAATACTTAAAAAATCAAAGTAATGAAAATGAAATGAAATAAGCCCAATTCCTCAGCTGCATGAGCCACGTTCCTCGGGTGCAGAAAATGAAGGCACTGGGCAGCTCATAGTGCAGACTGAGGCCACCTTTGTGCGAGGTCCTTTATTTGTGCTGGTGTAGACAGCCAGCAAGGGAGACAGGAGGAACGGTACCCGTTAAGCCCAGCTGCAGGACAGGAGAGGACCAAGGAGACTGTTGCTAGGAGACACTCACCTGCCCTCAGGAGCTGCCAGTTACCAAAGGAGCTAGCTGACAGACAACACGAGCTAGGCCATGGAGGCCCCAGGTGCCTCACCTTCAAGGGAGAGGGGAAGCAACATACCCCGACCTTCCCCCGCACAGAGGAAGCCTTCATGGTTGGTGACCACAGGAGCTGACCTGGAATCGTACTGTTCCTGGGCCCATCTGTTTAAGTTTGCAAGAGTTCCACTTTTTACAATGTTATTTCCCACTCTCCATTGCAGCTAAGGTTGCCCGTGTGAACCAGTTTTGGTCAATGAAGTACAGAAAAAAAGTTCTTAAAAAGGAACTTCCTTTTAGGAGAAAGAAAAAAAGAAAAAGCTTTGTCCTTTCCCAACATTTTATTGTGGAGCGTGGACTTAATTGCTGGAGCTGAAACAGCCACCTAGTTATAAAGAGGCAATCAATGTCTAAACTAGGTTAACCCCTACAGTAACCCCATGAAGTAGGGGTTATGATCATCCCACCTTTGTAGACAGGGTAGAGGGGGGTTGTTGAGGCACAGGGGACTTAAATGACTAGGCCAAGCCCTTAGAAGGTCAAAGGCAGAGTCAGACTTTGGCTCTGGGTAATCTGGCTTCCGTCCCATTTCGGCCTCTAGAATGCTGTGCCTTCCTGAATTCTGAGACATACTCTGGAACTCATGGTGTCATTGGTTTCTTCACACAAGCATCCTAGCATGTGGCTACTAAGTCAGCTCCCGAGTCCTGGGCAGTGTAACTGCAGGGGACCACCATAGTGGTCAGACCACCCACTGTCCACCATAAACCAAAATATCATTACAGAGCGTACCGTCTATGACCCTCCGGGAGAGGAACAAAGCCTTGTGGGTGACTCTGGTGTGGGGTGACAGTGGAGGGA